AGAGGAAGTTTGTTCCAAGCTTGCTTTGTTCCAGCTGTGAGCACTTCCTCAGGAGAACAGCTTCAGCTGCTGGTGGAAGAATAAGACAAAGCTGAAGATGGAAATTTTGGAAACTGTTGTAAGGTAAAGAGAAAAAAAAATTATAAAAATGCTGCATAAATACCAGTAGAGGAAGCAAGAGGCTTCAGGATCAGGTTTATCCAGCTCTCGTCCTGGTTGAGGTGTGAGGTACACCGACAGAGACTCATGTCCCACCCCGCACCCCAATCCAGTGTTCTTGCTCTTCTCCAAAATGGGTGTTGGGGAGAAGTAGCTGAAGCCAGCCGTGCGCCACTCATGCTGCTCTGTGCCAGCAAAGGCAGCTTGGCAGCCTGCCTGGACCTGGAAGCTGCTTCAGGACCCGCTCAGGGGAGGCATCGCTCCAGCATGGGTTGTCCCAACCGATGGCGATGGCGGGTCGCAGCCTGACTGCCTGAGACGGGGCTGGGAGGAGGAGGAGCGTGGCTGTTCCGGCCGGTGCCATCTTCAGCCCTGTGCCCGGATCGGAGGTTACTGAACAGGCGAGCTCTCGTTTCGTACCTCCGGCAGGGGAGGCCACCCACAAAATGACCCCCTCATGCTGTCCCTGGGGGGTGGCATGAGAGTGTTGCACACGGGACGGGTGCCAGCATCCACGCAGCCCCTTGCCAGCACTTGTCGCGTTGGGAGGAAGATGCTCTACAGCCGCCCAGTGAGGTTCAGCTTGCACAACTCCGGGTGGCACACGCTGCTGCAAAAGCCCTTCCCTGGAGTTCTTCTTATTCATATAAATAACATATAGGTATGTGTATCTATAAAAATATTTTAAAGTGGCATTATCTCTTTAGATCTCAGGCTGAGATTTTTACTACAGCGTGTGTGTTATCTAGGTTTGTACCTTTTAAAGATTCACATTCTTCCATCTCTCCTGATTCTTGCAAATCTGTTTCCCAAGGTTTTGTTTCCAACTCTCCTTGTTCTTCCACTTAGCTTAGATATGGCTACAGACTCTCCCTTAGACTTCAAGATTTCATCCTTTGCATTCGTCCCTTTAGATTTTTATTGCCTCTGATGGGCCAGTTAAAGTCCCTCCCAGTTCCTTTGCCTTCTGTAATTTCAAAAATGTGTATTAAAAACATCCTTTTCTGTTGTCTTAACTGATCCTCTGTGATGTTTGTTGGTTCTCTTCTCTTCCTATCTTCAGTAAAAAGATAAACTTTTATTTTTTTTTTAGCTTTCTCAAGTAGCACCTTGTAAAACCATAAAGACTTTTTTAACCCCAGATGTGTAAAGTGATGTTCTACTTTAAATATGCTTCACTAAGCATTTTCCAGTTCACTTTTGCACTTGTAGATTTAATATTTCCCCTTGGTGCTTATATTTACACTGATCATTTGTTTTCATTTTCAACTTACTGATGTGTTCAGCACAGTCTTATCTTGCTGGGCGGATGTCAAATAGTTTATTATTGATTATACAGTTTTCTATTGTAGTCTACTAGTTCCTGCCAATTAGCTTATCATCTTGTTGATAAGATTATTGCCATCGGTGCACCATGGGGATCATGGTTATCCAGGCATATTTGAGCAGCGTTGCTGATGCACACAAGAGTTTTGTCAACGTCTAGAAATTTTTTCTTATTCAATCTTCTTTTTCCTTACACCAATCTGTTGCACAAGGCAAGGTATTATTTGACTTCCCTGATGTTTTTTATTCCCTATATCCTCACCCTAATTATTTAAGAACTACACGATTCACTGTGAGATTATTTCTGCACAGAAATGTTCTCCACTTCTCACTATCTTGTGTAATTTCTCCTCTGGAGCACTTTCTCTGGTTTCCAGCGATCACCGATTTGAGGACTGGAGCTGACTTTTATTTGTACCATCCTGTTTAATTGCTGCTGTGGAGGAGCAGCCCTTTGTGAATTTGCCTAGTTCCTTTCCAAATGGTTTTCTGTGGCAATGGCCACAGGTACCACATGAAAATAATTATACACAGTGGGAGGAAAACGTATTTCCTTTCGTTTTAAATCTGAATCTGTCATTGGATGCCACTAGGTTTTGTACCATGAGATGTAGTGAACAATATATTTATCTCCTCTATCTTTTCCTTGCTTCCTGCACCTCTGTTGTCATCCTCTTTTTCTCTGAGGCTTCAGGGAGGATGAGGAATTGTTGTGGATTTGATCACTCCTCGCTTGAATCCATTCCTTATTTCTGCATGTCCCTCTTACCTTTCCCTGTTTCTCCTGTAGAAAGCTGGGTGCTGTGTGGGCACATTCTGGATTTAACATGGTGACACTGCAGCATTTGCTGCTTCATTCCCGTTGTACTCCTAATACCTTCTCAAACTGCCTATGCACAGCTCAGGTTTTGCTGCTGATACAAGGACTCTGAACCCAAAAGCACGATATTTTTTTGTCCTCTCTGGCCCTAGTAATAAAAATATTTCTTTAAATTTTGCCTCATTTACATCCTCGAACCATCACAGTTGTAACACATCTACCACGAACAATATCCTGTTCTGTTTGCCTTTTTTATGGCCTCAAAGCACAGAGCTAATGTTGTCAGCAACCTACCTGCAGTAACCAAGATCTCCTTCCCAAGCAGCCACAACTAATTTTGCAGCCTGGTGCTGGGGTATGCACAACTAGGGCTGGTTTTCTCCCCGCTGCATGATTTTTCATCTACTGTTTGGTTGCCCACTCCCACTGCAGCTTCTGGAGTGACGTCCTGGGATGGGGCAGTGCTGCACTTGGGAAAGACCGGTGGCAAAAATCCCTGCGTGTGAGGCAAGGGAGTTTGCAACCTGCCCAATTTCTAAATGAGGCTCTTTTGGGCCTTATTAAGAAGCAGCAGAGAGTTTAGAAGGGTTTATTTCCAGCTCAGAGCTACACTGCCAACCATGGCACAGCCCTGGCTGCCCCCTGGGTGTTACGGATCAGCCTGAGGTGCAGGACCTTGCCCTGTGCCCATGTTCTCCCAGCTGAAGACTCTGTGATGGGAATTCCCTGTAAATTAATATTTGACCTCCTACCTCTTCCCAGATGGTCTTGGGGCTTCAGCTCCCTTGGGCTGTGGAGGCACTTGTGTGTGGTGGTCTCTCCTTTCTCCCATGTCTCCTGGGAGCGCATTGGGCAGAGATATGGTGGAGAGCGGGAACCAAGTGCTCCCCGGCCTGGGAGGGAGAGCACTGCCAGAGGCGGCTGAGCCCTTCTTGCAGACGTGGGGGAATGAGCCCCTTTGCTCTGGCCATGAAATCAGTCATGTGTAGGTTTTTGTCCAGCCCTGGGGGGTGGGGGAAGGAATGTGGGTTGGGCAAAGTCTAGGATTACACCACAACTGAATTTTTTTTTTCTTTCCACGCTTTAAATAGTCAGCACCTTTCCGTCCTGCCTTCGCGTCTCCCCGTCGGCTTGCGCCCTGACAGCGCCGTCTGCAAGGTAACACCTCTGCCCCTGTTTTCTTCTGCCCTGCTCCCCCTGCACCCCACACCCACCCGGGTCTGCCGTGGGTGAGAGGTCACGGTGCTCTTTCTGCCTGTTTAATAATTTTCTAGCATGAAGGGGTCCTCCCAGCCCTTCCTTGCAGCCGCTGTCAAACGCCTGCCAGCGTTTCTTGCTCCTCTTCGCATCCCAAAGTGTTTTATCGGAGACTATGCAGGGGGAGGGGAGAGATTGAAAGTGCTGCTTTGCCCTTTTTCTCCTCTCCCTGGATGTGGGAGAGTGCCTTTTGCTGCCAGTGCCTTTTCTTGCTGTCCTGGCAAGGGATTTGCAGGCAGGAATGAATGGCGGTGTCAGGCTGGGGCTGGGGGAGCTGCCTCTGCTGGGCACAGTCCGACTCAAGGGCTGGCACCATGCAAAGGAAGGTTCCTTCCTTGGCGCGAAGTCCTCAGCAATCCCACCTTTGGCACTGGGTGGTGGTGGGAAGCACAGTCCTCGCCCTTTGCCCTGCAGGGCTCAGCAACCAGAGAGCATCCTGCTCGTGAGGAACAGGCTCAAACACCCCTGAGCCTCCTAAATGGCTGTAGCAAAGTTAGTGCCACCTGTGGTGCCCATACCTGTCTCTTTGCTGTGCTCTGAGGCACCAGCTGTGCCACAGTAGTCACTCATGGTATGCCCTGGTTTTCCTGGAAGGAGAGGTGTCCTCTCGGAGGTTTTAAGGCAGAAAGTGAGACAGCAGGAAGGGTGCGTGCCTGCTGATCTGCTTCTCTTAGCAGAGATCCCTTTAGAGATGGGAGAAGCTCTTGCAGTGCCAAAGATTCTTAAGAGCAGTACTGTGAGGAGCTTCTGCAGGCAACAGGCAGATGTTTGGAGGGGCAGGCCCTGGGAGACAAGAAATCTTCTGCTGCTATTAGAAAGACAGCTCTGTTCTGAAAAATCACCTTTTCTCACTGCCTAGTAGACTGCTGGCAATAGTTGTCACCACTGAAAGCAGAAATTTTCTTCCCTCTTTATTTCACTTTATCTGCATCTAAGGCTTCTGTGTGTTTTGTAGCTTTCATTGTAAGGTCTGTGAAAACAGACCTTGGAAAGCAGAAACAGGAGAGGAGAGAAATCCTAACAAAATATGTCATGAAGTGTTTGATCCCACTCTCACCCTCCTCAAGCCCTAAGTCTGTTCTCGGTACCTGCCAGAGTGGGAATCCGAGTCTGGCTGAGCCACTGGGTCTTCTGCGTAACACTGTGCTTAGAGGATGGGCTTCCAGGAGGAGTGATTTGAGATGAATTAATTAAAAATAATGAAGCTGATAGTGGTTTTTAAGGACTGGGTTTTTTACTAAGCAATGAAAGCACATGCATGCACTTAGTGCATTACTGCCAGCAGGTATTGGTACGAGTAGCAAGAGAGAAACAGCTCAGGGGGTGTGTATGTGCATGTGTGTCCTCTCCCCTCTCTTGCCTCTCCCATAGTCCAAATATCTGCCTCATTCCATGGCTTGTGCTGAATGTAACGAAGGAAAATCCTTCTGAAGGTGGGATGGATTACAGAGTCCCTGGTGCTGTCAGCAATGGCGAGACGGTGCCTGCACACCCTGGCCTGGAAAAGGAGACGGAAGAGGATGACCAAACCCTGGAGCGAGGGCAGTGGAACAACAAGCTGGAATATGTCCTGTCTGTGGCTGGGGAGATCGTTGGCCTAGGAAACGTCTGGCGCTTCCCCTACCTCTGCTACAAGAACGGTGGAGGTAAGTGCAGCCCTGGCCTCGGGCAGCCCTAGGGGCACCTGGTCACCAGCATCCCGCCATGGTCCCTCCTGCCTCTGCAACACCCGTGTCTGGCCCTGCTCACCACCGGTAGCAGCTTCTCAGCGGTGCCGAAGTCATGAGGCTGATGAGAGGATGCCAACCTGCTGGCATGGTTCCACCACCTGAGCCAAAAGAAAGGGTTGTTTTGACCCGGTGGGACATGGGTAACTGAGCAGTGATGTCCCAGAGCTTCTAATGGCTGTAACCATGTTTTCCTGGAGTGCCTGGAGTCCTGGAGTCCTAGTCCTGCTGGTGAGGTGGGTGGATATCTGCAGAGGGAGGTGGGAGGAACAGGGTGGGATCTTGGCTGTCTTAGCAGCAGGACTCAACCCGGGCACCTCTTCCTAGAGGAGCAAGAGGCACCCTGTGCCTGCATTTTAATATTTGCACCCTCTGCAAATAAGATAGTGGATCCCGGTGGCATAGCGGGGAGCGGTGAGGGGGGCCATGAGGCACCAATGTCTTTGCATGTGCCGTGGGAAGCTACAGCATTTCCTGGAGGCTCAGGGGGGCCTCCAAGTGGCCCTCTGCCACTAGCCTGGGTCAGATGTCTGACCACAGAGGGATGTCCTCTGGGGGCTGGAGACAGATAACAGGGACAGGGCAGAGCGAAGGGGTTTTCTGCTGTGGTACAGAAGCACAGAACCTGTCCTGTACACCACAGTGCCCATCCCAACCAGCATCCCCCTGCAAGAAGGGGGGACCCCTGGCTCTAAGTCACACGGCAGGACTGTGAGGTGTGCATGTGGACCTGCTTGGTGGAGAGAAAGGGAGCACGGTGATGCTTTTACCAGTGAGGTGCTGGCACATCGCTGCTGCTCAGGCTGTGCTTGGCAGCCATTGGTGTTCGATCCTCAGCGAGACCTGGTTGTCCCGTGGCTTGATGGTGGAGCTGGACTCGCTTTTGCAGATAGAGAGTTGTCTTGGGCTTTTACAGGTGTTTTTCCTCACTTCTAGTTTGTGGCTGCATTTTAGGGGAGAAAATTGTTTTAAAAAAAGACGAAAGCCTGAAGCTCTTCTTAAGTTTGTCTCGGTGGCACATGGAGAGAGAGGGAGTTGCTCTCCCCGTCTGGCAATTAATTGCTAATTGGGCTCTCCGGAAGGGCAGGGGAGAGGGGAAATGGCGCTTGGCTGGGAGCTGGCAGGGAGCAAGGCACTGGGGACTGAGGCTGAAATCCCCTGGCTTGATCTTGGGGTAGTCTCATGGGCCTCACTAAACTGCTTTCATCCCAGTGGCATAAAAGAGGATTAACTGCTGTTTAGCTACTTTCACACCATGCTTTGCTCAGCACTTGTTTCTTTTCACCAGGAGGTCAGGCATTTTCTTTTCCCTGTTGAAAAAGGAGGACTTTTCATTTTCTCCTTTTCCACAGGGAACATTTCTTGGCTGGTTGCTGAGCCGTATCTGCTCCCACTGCTGCACCCTTCTGCGGGCGCCATCCAGCCCAGGGAGAGCAGGATCTGGGGCCCCATCCTGGCACCCCTTTCCCTGCTGCTCTCCCTGGCGTGTCCCTGCACTTGGGCCAAGGGGAAGGTGAAGGAAAGCTTTAGGGAAAGGAGAGCCACAGAATGTGGTTGGACAGCAGAGGCGAGGTGCAAAGTGATTTCTCAGCATTTTTGCTCCCCGAGAAACTTGTCTGAAGCAAAGCCCTGTGAGGGTGTCAGAGACCATGAGGAATCTCAGGCAAATTTTTCATTTCTGTCCACTTTCTCAGGAGGTTAGAGCAAGGATGGGGCATGAGGCTTTCATGTAGAGAGGGAAACATTTGCTGTGTGACTTGTGCTGGGCAGTGCAGTGTGATGTTTTGTGGGACTTGAGGCTCTCTCCTGCACCATAGAATCCAGACTGCCCCAGCTGGTGCTGTAATGCCTCAAGATTAATTTTAAAAGCTGCTAGTGGCTTTGTGCTCTGTTCCTGTGGGAAGGATTGTCTGGGCACTTGCTTCTCTGGTACTTCAGTAAAGGTGAGGGACTTTTATTTAATTTCTAGCTCCAGGTCAATTATGGCCAGTTTGCACCCTTTTGCTCTTGTGCCAGTGTTACCATCAGACTGAAATAGCTCTGCCCTGCTGGCTGACATTTCTGCTCTCTGACAATTTGTGTGTAGGCAGTGGTGATAACCCCGCTCCACTTGTGCTTTGCTGCCCTAAATAAGTCAAGATCTTTGCAAAAAAAAGTATCTGTAAAATCTCAGCTATCTGAAGCCTGTAGTTTTTCCTTCTGTAGGGATATTTCCACGTGGCAAAGAAAGAGTAGTCCCTTACACAGTGTTTAGTGTCTGATACCAAGGTCTTGTATGGTGGCAAAAAAAAACAAACAGAAGAGTAAAGACATATTCACTCTTGCTTTCACCTCCTTGGACAGGCTGGCCCCACCGATTGGGAAATACTGGGGAAGGCTGTCTGGTGGTGTGAAAATGCCACACCCCCTTTCCAGCGCTCCCCAAACCAGCCAGTCCCAAGGGCCCACCACCACTGTCCTTGCATATGTGGAGGGGAAGGGGCCATAGTGGAGGGGGCACACACGTTAGTGCTTCCCTTTCTGTGGGATAGTCTTCTGCCAGGTGTTGGGGTTCAACCATGGGGAGAGTGGACACGTCTGGGATGGGGAAGACAGCCAGTGCTACGGGAGCTGCTTGGGTACACTGATGGACCCCCATCCATGCTGCAGTCCCCCACCACGGGCTGTTGTCCCTGCTGTTCCCTGGGCCAGAGCGGCTCTACTGGGCACCTCTCCTTGGCTCTTCCTCTTTGCAGTCCCTGCCTGGAGGCTATCCCGCCTGCCACCCCTTCCTGCCCATGCGGGCAAGCAGCAGCCCTCTGCCAGCTGGAATGAGAGGGGAGTATTAGTAGTGGGACTGGTGTCAGGGTCATCACACCCTGACTGTCCTCCCCCAACATGGGGGATGAGGGAAGCGTGGCTCTTGGCCCAAACATGTTTTGCAAATCCATTCTCTGTCCCACTGTAATTTTGCATCTCTTCACAGCCTGCAGATTGGGACTCTCCAATTAGACTCCTAAAGAGTGAAATCCGCTGGCCAGCCTGAGGAAGAGGAAAGGCTAATTCTCATGCTGGAAATTAGGGAAACCACCTGCCACCTCAGAGACCTTCCCTGGGATCTGCTAGCTGCAGTTTAGTTAAATACAGTCTAATACATGTGAATAATCTCTCTCAGAGCAAGGCAACACTTTTATTGTAATACGATTGTATGCAGCTTGGGAGTTGAGGGGATGGTGTTGATACAACCCTTTCTCCTGTCTTTTGCCATCACCAGCTTCTATTTACTGGTAGAAGGAGAGCATACGGGCAGATGCTGATCATTGCCCTGGGGCTGCCAGGTATCAGCATCCCTTCAGTTACTCTTTCGCCACAGGGGGTTGCTGAAATGCTCTCCCTACCTATTTCATTACTTTTTCTTTTGCAGGGAGTGGGGGGCTGTGACTCTGTACCTAGGTGAGATGAGCGGTCCCAAAAGCCCACCCCTTCTTTCTCCCTGCCCCTGTATGCTAGCTAAGCTTCTTAATGAAATCTCACGGGTTTTGAGTTTACTTGTGCACCAGGATTGTTACTCCCCATTACACCCTCATCGACCCAAGCCCAGAGACATTTAGCATCTCACTGACACAGAAAAGGACTATGCAGGGAACACGTGGTGAGTGGCTGAGTGGGTTGCCACCTTTGACTCTGCGTGTGCCCCTCTGAGCCCCTTGCAGCTCAGCAGCTACTCTCCACTTGGGGCTACCCCTTCCTATGCCAACTCCTGCCCCGTGTCTCCCTATCGTTACAGCAGGGCTTGAGCAGGTTTCGTGGCACAAAAGCGCAGATCACCTTGCAGGGGTCTCTCCTGTGCTCTTTGGGGTAAAAGCCATTACTGCATTTAATATTGGCCTGGAGTAATGAAAAACCTGATGAATTTTACTTCTCTCTGCCTGATGTCATGACAGGACTGGACCAGGTGGCCAGCCCTGGCCTCTGGTGTGAGGTGCATACTTAGCTGCAGTACTTTTTGTTTGTGTTTGCTACTTCTTGGTGAGCAAAGGATTGAGCAAACCCACAGACTGGGTGAAGGTGTCAGTGTCTGTGTGTTCCTCAGTGTCTTGGTGTTGTCATCCATGGGCTTGTCATCTTATTCAGACAGAAAAATCAATGTGAAAGGAGTCAACAACCTAATTAAAAGTTATAACAGTTTTACAGTAACATGTTCTTCTGTATTTCTATATAACTATTGAGAACTTGTTTCACTCTTTTTGGCACAAAAATCGAGCTTAGAAATGTTTCTTTCCTCTCCATCTTTTTTAAATGTTGAGTTTCTAATGTAATCACATCACTTTGTGAGACAAAACGTGAAGAAAATTTCTTTTTTCTGACACCCTGGTCTGTGGCCTTTCTGCCCTCACATCCCCATCCCTCTGAGGCTTTCCCCCTCAGCCTGGGAGGGACCCACTTGCTGACAGGTAGGAGATAGTCTGACCTCAGTCATCCCATGGAGTTTATTTCTCCTATCTGCTAATTGAATCTGCCAGGTGCCTTCTTCATCCCCTACCTCATCTTCCTCTTCACCTGCGGGATCCCTGTCTTTCTCCTGGAGACAGCGCTGGGGCAGTACACCAGCCAGGGAGGAGTGACAGCCTGGCGCAGGATCTGTCCCCTCTTTGAAGGTGAGTGGGGTGGGCCAGGGAGGGCATGGCAAGGACAGGGGACCACAGGGCTCCAGAGAGGCAAGAGGTGATGCGTCTTGGTTGCCTTCTCTCCGCATACCAAAACCTTTAGATGCTCCTCCAGCACCTCCCAGAAAAGGTGTGTGCTGTTAACACGAACGCTTCCCAAACAAAAGTGAAAAGGGATAGATAAACAAAAAAAAAGGTGAATTTTGGTAGAGGAGGTATTATTCAGCAGGTGGAGCACCGTCATATATTTCTGTCCCTTTAGATGTCTTTCCAACCATAATCTGCCCATACCATGACCAGACTCCTTCCCATTACTACCTTTTCGCTAGGGAAGGCTGTGGTGGGATGACAGGAGGAGTGTGTCCCCAGGGCCCCTGCTTGGATCCCCACTGATACGGCATGGTGGGTTTTGGGGAGGGGATCATGGCTCTGGAGGCTGCCCAATCATCCAACAGCACGGTCAAAACTCAGAGCAGCACATGAAAACATTGGGTGAGCACCTCCCAAGGGGAGTCCTGTTACCATCCCCCTGCATGTGGGTCACCTGCCTTCGGGGCTCGCTTTCTGCAGGAATTGGCTACGCCTCACAGGTCATCGTCATACTGCTGAACTTCTACTACATCATTGTCCTGGCCTGGGCCTTGTTTTATCTCTTCAGTTCATTCACTATTGACCTCCCCTGGGGCAGCTGCGACCACGAATGGAATACAGGTGAGTGTGAAGTCCTCTCCCAATCCTTCAGTGGATCCTGGCTGAGGGAAACCTGCTGTTGCACAGGAACAAACCTCAGGAGAGTGACTGGTCCCTGCGTGGGTGGGACTGCCGGCCACAGGAGTGAGGAGTGTGGGGTCACTGCAGTGCTGCTAGCACTTTCGGAGAAGAGGCTCGATTGATCTGGATCTTTGCTAGAGAGCATCACTGCTGGCATTGCCCAGCCACTTGCAGCACCCAGCCAGGGCCATGCAGTGGTAGCCTCCCCCATGGCTCCTGCTCTGGGCTTCAGCATACAGGAAAGAAAAGTTAAATGCCATCATCTTAACTCTGCTAGGTTTGTCATCAGCCTTACCCTGGAGGGGTTTCCTTAAGTGCATCTTTGGGACTGTACAAAATTTGTCTTAGAGTCAATATCAATGAGTGTTGATACTGTGCATGGAAAGGGAGGGATTTTTCAGATCTTCCAGTATTCCAGCCACTGTTTCTTATGCTCCCCCTCTCTCTGGGCCTCTCCCACAGGGAACTGCATGGAGCTCCAGAAGGCAAACTCAACGCTCAACGTGACCAGTGAAAATGCAACATCCCCTGTCATTGAGTTCTGGGAGTAAGTAAAGGATAGGCCTATTTCTCACTTTTTCGCTTTATATATCTTCTGGATTATCCATTGTTCTTGTTCTGTTTGGAGCAGGCTTCCCCATGCAGTCCTTGACCTGCCTGGTGCCTGCATCCAGCGTAACCGTGATCAGGACATGAGTGCCAAGGCTGTAGGTGGGAGTGGGCTGAGATTTGTGGAGATTCACAAACCAGCAGCTCTGCAATGGGTTTTTATCTGCATGTTTTGCAAGCTGTAGAGTGTTATGCTGTTGGAGAGGAGACCTTAAAGCCCCGTGATGTTACTACATGAGTCCATGCTGGTGATGCAGTAGGTGATCTCTTCCCTTTGAATCCATGCTGATGCATGATACCAGTATGTTCCCAGGGACTCTGGCATGGTGAGTGGTGGCTTCTGTATTTGGGCTAGTCTTCCTCTTAAAAATAGAAAAAGAAGTGATGTTTTCACTTCAGAGTGACTAATACACAAGCTATTTTGAGAAGAGAAGCAACTCAAATTGAAATGAATTGATAGCATCGACTAGCTATGAAATTTACTCCCTTATTTTCATTGTTTTCTCCCTTTGTGTTAGTGTAGCTTTATTTCTGGAAGGAAAGTGTAGGTCTGTTGGCTTGGGATCCGTGATGATCCTCAGCACCTCCTGGGAGAACAGGCTCAGTTAAGCGCTGAGCCCTGGCTAATAGACTGTGTGAGTAACCCCTCTGCTGCCACTGTAGATTTTCCTCATACGTTTAGATGGCTTCAGGGCTCTGCCCTTGCTGCCCTCAGCCCCACTGCTGGATGCTGCCAGCACACGATATCTTCAGGACATCCCTGGCTCAGCACAGGGATGCTAATTTTAAACTTTAAAGTTTTAAAATTTTCATTGTCTCCTCTGTGCTCCTGGAGCCTGCACTCCCCCTCTCTCTACTGCTCACATGTGATTAGATAGTGGCCTGCCTTAGCCTGCTCTTCCTGAGGCCTGCTACTGGAAAAGCTGATGTTTCCATCACTGCTGTGACCATTTGTGTGTTACTGGGGAATAAGCACACGGGACTGGAAATTTCCACTGTCCGTTACTTCCAGTGCAGCATCTATTCCTGCCCTCCCTGGGCAGGGATGTAGGAGGCCACCCTTTCCTTAAGAAGCACTGACCTGCCAGTGGGCTGATGGCACACTTCTGAAGCCTCTTCTGGCTGTGGTACAGTGCCCAGTTAGTTACGGTCTGCTGGCACCCTTTTTCCACTGGTTACAAGGTCCACGTCCTTAGAAGCAGGCAGAAAGCAACATGACGAAATGTATCTGGCAGAGCAGCGTGATTTTTTCCAACCCCTTTCTCATCCTCTCAATCCATCATGAGGCTGTGGGGCAGGAAAGGAGGCAGTGTGTCTTAGACTGAGGTTCTTTGGGAGTGTGACCTTTATTTTGGGATAATTGCTGTCTTTTGCAGCAGGGCGAGCATTGCGGCTGGTTTCCAAGGTAGGGAATGTCCTTCTGTCCCTGTTTGAGACTTGAAGTTTGGGGATCACACCATGGTATTTTACACTCAGATCCATCTGTGTGGTGTAGGAGATAGAGGAGGGTGAATCCTTATTTCTGTAAGCAATGAAGATTTGACATACATGTGATATGGAAAGCTGCTGTATGGCCAGGGTGAGATCGTAAGATTTAGCTGAAGCAAGGTCTAACTAGCCCAGGATCCTGTCTCTGTACCAGCTGAAAAAAAATGCCCAAGGTGGCCTCTTCTAACTATGCAATGGGGATTACTGTGGTCTTGGTTGGGCTTTAGTCATGGCATGGGATACTATGCTGCTCGGAGTCCTGAGGTGAAATATGTAGCTGCTCCTCATAACAGAAGAAGTTTGTTATGGAGAAGGGGTTGGACAACATTTCTTCTCGGGTGGTCCTGATGGTTCTGCACGGTAAGTGCAATGTATTATTCACTTCGAGGTTTGAAGCATGTCAGAAATGTATGTGAAATTAGTGATGCGCATGGAAAAGGCCTGGGCAGAGTTTATGTGTGCAAAGTGCTGCATGTTCTTGCAGAGAGAGAGTTCTTACCCTAGAGGACAAGACAGATGAAGGATGAGAGTAGGACAAGAGAAGAAATTTCTTGGCCCAACAAGCCAGCACTGGAGTTAACTAAGAAGCAAGTATCCATGTGTGTTCCACCAGGCTGGTAGTACTTGTAAGAGGAGAGCACTCCTTGATTTCTGATGCTTGCAGCTCAGACCTGGGCCTTGTTACTAAGACAGCTCCTTTCCCCAAAGACATCCGGTGCTGTGGATGTGTGGTGAGAACCAATCTGATGTTGGGAATTTTAGTGGCCAACATCAGTGACACCTGGGTGTTCCTTTGCTTCCCCTCAATGCAGGAGGAGAGTGCTAAAGATTTCCGATGGCATCCAGCACCTGGGCAGCCTGCGCTGGGAGCTGGCTCTCTGTCTCTTGCTGGCATGGATCATCTGTTACTTCTGCATTTGGAAAGGGGTCAAGTCCACAGGCAAGGTGAGTCCATGCTTCAGAAAAAGCCTCTTCCATTGATCACAGGTGAAGTGCTTCATCAACTCACCTTTTGTACATTCTGAGAGGTCCTAGGGATCTGCTGGGGACCACCCTCTGAATGAACTGGCAGAAGTCTGCGAGACTCAACTTGGAGCAGCTGTGTGAGCCAGGCTCTGTGTTTTGAGTAGGAAAGGATAAGGGTGCTGAGATGTCTCAGAGCATTAACTTCCAAGATGCATATCCCCATCTGGTCCTTCTCCATCCACAGGCCAAGGAGATCCTGCAGTCTTCCTATTTATGGAGTGGTTGCATATTCCCTTCCTGCCCACTTCAGTGTGAGCAAGCAGCATGCTTTTGCTGGAAAACCTTCAAATTCATTATATAGTAACAAAGGTGACTCTGATGGCCTCCAAGCCCTCTCTGCCTCATTGCCATGGCAATCTTTTTTTTCTTCATCTCAACTCTTCCTATGGTTGCTCATATTCCCCAGGAATAAAGGTCACACCAGTCACCACAGAGATATTCATTGGAATGCTTCTGGGAAGGGTTGGTGTGACTGTCCAGTTCTATCCCTTGCTCCCTCTGTTGCAGAGTGTGCCTGTCATTTGCACTGATCTCATTGCTTAGTTTCTGCTATTGCCTCCTGACCCACTCCCAGCCAGCTTTGAAGCCAGCAACAACAAGTGGAATTGAAAAGGTGTCTTCTCGTTGTGCTTTGAACAAGACATCATGTGTGATGGGGTGTAAATTTTAAGCTGCATCCATTTCCGTTGAGTTGATGGCATGGATGTTAGCAGTTTCTTCTGCTTCCAGAATGGTTTGATATTATGAAACATGACAGGGAAATCAAGCAGCTTTCATAGATGATGTTTTCTGGTTTCCATGGGGTAAAATCAGAAGAAAAGAGCAACTACTTGCTCTGGTGGCCTAGTAAAAGAAAGCAGAGTCAATCTAATAACAGCAAATATGATACTGGGATATAGCAAACATAGCGTGGGAAGAGCTGAGAACAAATTCTATCTATTTTAGATACAAGTTCTAGGTTAAATGCAAGTGCTTTTTAGCAAAAAGGACTAGCAACGGTGAGATCTTATCTTCTTGAAAACCAGAAACCTTCTTTCAATGAAGTAACAGTGTCCATAGATTTATCAACCCTCCACAATAACCCAGCTAAAGCGATGGCTGTGGGAATACACTCCCACTGGGGAAGGGAAATAGCTTAGTTCTGGGAATTTGCCTGCGGAGGGTGTCAAACACCATGAGCTGAAATCACCCTACTCAGCAGCAGCGGTTCCCATCCCCTGACATGGGGACTGTGTGTCCCTGAAGAGCGCTTGCAGGCGCAGGAGGTTGTCACAGATGGAACCACTTTGCCGAGGCATGTGGATCAGGTTCAAATAAAACCCTGGATGTTACTGACCAGCATGTGATAGAATGATCACACTGATCCCGGCAAGGTTCCTTAGTGATGTAGTTAGTGCTAACAATGCCCGAGAAATAAAAAGATTGGGTCTGAGCCAAGCGCTGAGTAATATCTCATTGGATCCAGATGTTCCTGTTGTTAGCTAGAACTTTGGCTCTCTCAGTCCAGCAAAACACTCTCCAAATTCAAGCCTCTGGTCTCACTGCAGATGTGAGCGGCTGTTGATGGAAAAACTTAACTCGCTAGTTCGCGCAGGCTGTAGTGCACATAGGACCTTACTGAAACGTGAATCAAAATCAGACTACTACAGGTTTGTGTTCCTAAAACTGATGTTATTTAAAGATCCAGCCAAACATGTGCAACCTGGTGTCCCGGAAGAATGTGCATTAGGGTTCAAAGGCAATGGGTTGCTTTTATGATTTTTGTTTTCAATCTTGCTTTCAAGACCTGAGAAAGATTAGGCTTGCAGCCTGTCATTTCCTGAAAGAGGAATTTGGTTGCATGGTAAATGCAGGGATGATGGTTAAACTTGCAGGACCTGTAGATTTGATTAACTGCCCCTGTAAAACTCTAAATCAGAGACTCCTTGAAAATTTGAGAATTAAATGAGTGATAGCATTTACCTGTGTTGAAGGACGCTGTCCCTGGGTTCGTTCAGTGTCCAGGATGTGGATTCAGAGGGACAGGGGATGGATCTGCTCAAACAGGCACCTCAGGTGATCATGAGCCTCAGCAAGGAGGTGTTTCTCACTGACCTCTGTGGCATTGCCCAAGAATTCTGCGATAAATAGAGCAGGGCACATGAAATGCATAGAAAACCTAGAGCTGCAGACAGAGGTGGTAATCTAGTAGCGTTGTTTTTCAAAGACAGGGTATCTCTCAGATCCTTCTGTCCTGTCGCATTGCAAAACTAAGTCGCCAAAGAGTATCTCAACTTAGAGAAGGACTCACGTTGCAGCGCCAGGTGCTTTGGACATTTTTTTGCTTTATTTGGACATTTTTTGCTTTATTCAGATGGAGCATATCTGAGTGGATCCAGGCAAAAGTCACCTTTTTAATCACTACTCAGACAATAAGGATTACATGGGGGCAGCATGGAAGTGGTCACACTGTCCTGGGAAATAACACGTTCATTCTTTGTAGGACCTCCTCTAATGCAGAAACTGCTATAGCTGTGGCAGAGCCTGTGCTCATCCTTGTTCAGAGATGATGGACTTTAGGTGGATTTTGAAACAACTCATTCCAGATGGATAGACAAGTGTGAGAAATAGATCATTTCAAATCGTTACATTATGTCGTTCCTGTAGAGATGAGCTTTACCTCTCTGGTGTGTTAACTGCCAAAACAGGAAAGAGCTAAAGGGTAACATTCAAGTGAAGCACGCTGATGTGAATCCTGACTCAGCACATCCACATAGGGGAAACCTGAAGGAGCAACATTTCTTTTTTAGCCTAGCATGATACAACAGATTGAACAACTTTTTTTTTTCCTAGGTAGTCAGTAAATCTTGAAGATGTGAGGGCAATGCAAATTTAACTGCAGGGGAAGCTTCATGAGACCTTGATATCGGTTTGTGTGGGAAACACAAACTACAATGTGTTGTTTTTCTGGAACACTACAGCAATTCACCTGAACAGTCCTGAAAGTACCCTGGTATCCCCTAAATTGAGTGTTATATTCACCAGATGTAGAGTCCCTGAAGGGATGAGCTGATACTGGCCTGCAGCATTCCCCCAAGGGACTTGACTGGTTTGCTAGAGGAAGGGATTTCAACCCTATCTGAGTACATCTGCATTGCTCATGGGGTTAGGGGTGTAAAAATCAAGAATACATAGTTTAACGGTCCTATTTGGGTCTGTGCCCTTGGTGGCAATCCTGAGACGTGCTGCCCTGATCTGCCTGAAGTGCCCATGCTGGGTATGTGAACTGGGGTCGATCAGAGGGTTTATGGTTAGTGTTGTCCCTGTGAGTCCCTCAGTAGTGATCACATTTTGAGGTGTGTCTCTTACCTGCACACCCCTTCACCCTTGCCACTAAATGCTGTGGAGAAGAGACTTTCTGTATGTGACTCAGACCTTTGTTTGGGGTAGGGATGTACAGGTGGGTGCTGGGAGCATCTTCTTCTCTGATCCGCATAGATACCACGCTGCTGGCTTCAGGAGAGCTGCTCTGACTCCTATGTGGTGACAGCCTGGCTCAGGATTTGGATTGCTCTTAGGACTAGAAAGGTTTTCTCTGGGTCCAGACACACCATGGCATATCACAAGTTTCCTGAGTGCATTTTAAAATGCATTTCTTTCTATTGCAGGTGACAACAAGGTGTTCAGTGAGGCAGCCTGACCTGCCTCTTGCTGTTGCCCATCTCCCCCAGCCTGGGGATGGTTGCTCTGGCTGATACCACTCGCTCACACTTTTCCCTTCATCCTCCTCTCAGGTGGTGTATTTCACGGCCACATTCCCATACATCATGCTGATTGTTCTGCTGATCAGGGGAGTCTCCCTGCCTGGGGCATCCCAGGGAATCCTGTTTTACCTTTATCCAGACCTCAGTCGCCTTGGGGATCCCCAGGTAAGGTGGATGGGGGACTGAGCGGCTGAGCTCTTCTTGCATGGACACCTATGGCTGTCCTGTCTCCCTCTTTTTCCTTTTCTCACTCTCTTTCTTCCTGTTTCTTCTTCCTGTCTCCTCTTTTCTCCCTCTGTGTCCATAAGGCAGAGCTGTGATATTGGTGCATAGGCTGATGATGACTGCACTCTCTCACCCTTGCCTCCACCTGTGCTGTTACTGTGTTTTTTAGTCTGAGTTGTCTGGGTGTATGGACAATGGAATTTAACCCTTCATTACAAGTGGCATCAGCTGTTTTCCCTCTTTCTTGGGGAGACTCCTCTGCTGCAGAAGCAGCTGGTGCATGAGATGCCACTCTGCACTGTGCCAGCAGCTTGCAGGGATAAGAACTGCTCCTGAGATGCTTGCTTTGGCTTCCCTAGGAAGCACATGGGGTGCATGGATGGTGGGACCTGTGGCATGCTGCAGCAGCAGCACTCCCTGGGACCTGGTCGCCCTCCTTGCCTCCCCATCCCTGGTGAGAAATTCCTGCCTGTCTGATGGGAGGGTCGGCGCCCAACTCCTGCATTTAATCTCTTTGGGACAAGTTCTTCCACGTTAAATCCTGGCTCCAGCTGAGCTGCTGTACCAGCCTTTGTGTGAAGGTGTTTCCAAAGGAGATTAAAGGGTGCCTGCCTGGAAAATAGGCCAGCAAGACCCTTCATAACCCCATTAACTCTTTCTAGTCTTGCTGTCTCGTTATTACTTCTGTGAACGGGGGCATAAGCGCTGTGGGAAGAAGGGCTCCTGCTCTCCCTGATGGAGAAGAGAGGATTCCTGTTTCCTGTAGGTGGAGGTAGCAGTGTGTCAGGGGCTGCAGGACAACCCTGGGACCCGCCTGTGCCTCTGGTGCGGGGTGGCTCTGTGCAAGTCAGTTTGACTTACAGCTTCCGTTCTGGGGAGCTAAACACGAGTGTCTGGTTTCCAACTCCAGGCAGTCTGGTTTTTGTCACGGGAAGGACTCAAGAGCTCTTGCTCAGCTTTCTGGAAGTTGCTCTCCGGTCAGGTCTATGCTGGAGCGGGGGTGAAAAATCTTCATTTTACTGCTTTACGGCTGCTCTCATGCTCGCTCAGTTTGCCTGTGGACAGGAGGTGGGTAGGACAGCCGCTGTCTCCCTGTGAAAGCGCGCAGCAAGGCTTGGAAAGGAGTAAGGACGGTTCTGTATTTGCAGTGTTTGTGGCTCTATTTGTGTTGATGAGGTGCAAGAAACTTCTGAAATGAAATAACGTTTTCGAATGGTGCTCATTCACTTAATGAAAAGTCCTGTTGTTACTGTGACTGTGTCGCCCAGGGGACTGAATTAAACTACTTCAGGCGTGGCGTGGTTTTGCTGGTACTAGCTGTGTCCTCATTAGGTCTGTCCTGGCAAACTTTTCCAATTACAGCCTGAGCTTTAGAAGCACAGCTTCCTTCCAGCCTGGAAAATGCTAATGTGCTGATAGAAAGGCAGAGTAACCCTTCAGAGCAAGAGGATGGCTTATCCTTGGCTGGGAGAGAAAAATTTGCTCCTCCCTTCCCAACTCCATCATCTTCTGATGAATGCTTCATTTCTGTGGGAGAAAAGCAGGAGTCAGTAACAGTGTTCTCCTTCCTCCAGTGTGCTTTAACCATTCTAATGAACAAGGTAGCAGGGCTTGAGGTTTCTTTTACCTCTTCCCATCAGAGAAGGAAGAGTTAGTGCCCCAAGCCACACACGTGCATGTGGCTGTGCCCCCCTCTCTCTGTGCAGGGACAGCGTGAGCCCTGCCAGCCCACTGGGGCCAAGTTGATTATAATTGATTTATGCTCAGAGGATGGCAAGCTGTAATTGTTTACCCGCAATCCTGCACTGTCTGGAAAAATAGAGGATTCTTTAGTGTCTAGCAAGGGATTCTGAAAGTTAAAAAAAAATTTAAAAAAATTAAAAATACCCTTTCCAATCTGAGCCTTATGATAAGTCATCTCAAGGGGAGGTTTAAACAAAGGGCAAACAATGTACAAGGGGACAAAACCAAAACTCCTATAAAGTATATGAAATACTAGGTGAAAAGAGGGGATGAATTATTTAGCAAATTGTACCAGGGGAGAGCAGCAGCTGAGATTTGATTAAGTGTCAGGATGTCAGATTGGTGTGTGGAAATCATTGCTTTTCACCTGTCAGATGACCTTGGACAGAACTGGGAAATCCTGCCTGTGAGAGCTCAGGCTAGATGATGGAGAGTGGTCTCTTCTGGCCATGAAGTCTACAATGCCCTAAATCTTTCTGCACTTTCATTTTCTAGACCTATGAAATGCTTATAATTTAAATGGTAAATAAAATGCATTTTGCTAAGTAGATCAAAAAAGCCAGAGAAGCTGCCAAATGAAACTTTTGAATAATGAAGTCCAGTTCTGCTCAAATACAAGCAGATAACAGCAAAACTGCCAAAAAGGATCATCTATTCTGAACTGTGTGGTCCCAAACTTAAAAATCCCCCCAAAGCAATCCCATAGTTGTGTGGGTTTTTTTAAATTTGTGTAAGATTTAGTATGATGTTAGCATGCAAGCCATTTCTAGGACCAATCCTTTTTTTCCCCACTTTGATCACATTTTCTGTGCTACAGAAGGTTCCTACTTCTTTCATAGCGAGAGCTGTATTTTAACCAAAAGGAGATCTTGACGTTCTTTGCCATTTTCACTTTTGATCACTCCATCCTTTGCAATTATCTTTGCAGCAATTTTATCAATTGTTTATTTCAGTAGATAATGCTGAGGATTTATGGATGCGATTAAGGAGAGGGATACACGGTGTGATCCACTAGTGGGAAGCTGAAACAAGAGGAATTCAGAGTGGAAATAAGGTTTAAGTGTGGGAAACTTGTTATTAGAAGAACTTTTCTCAGGTGTTGGTAGGCTCTCTGTTGCTTGATGCTTTCAAACCATGACCAGGCACTGTTTTAATAAGGAGAGGACTGATGTCAAAAGTGCCAGCTGTGTGTCTGGGTTTACTTTAAAAAGAAGAAATGTAATGGTCTCCTTTCACTCTAGTATGAAGTTTCAATCAATTTTACCTAGATTTTAGCTAGATTTAGCTAAATTTTATTAGATTTAATAAGTGAGAATGGAGAATTAGTTAAATTCAGCAGCCCCTGAGCATATATCCCTCTATGGAAAAGCAGCAAACATTTCTTAAAATCTCCCACTTGAGTTTTCCTCTTGAAAATTCCAGAAAACCCACCACCTTGCTGTATGTGCTTGTACTTTACCCAGTCTTTTATATAAAAGAAGAACTTTCTGTGATGAGATGCTTTCTATCCAGCCCACACAGGGATTGTGCCCCTGGTCCTGGGGGAAGGGAAGCCCTGGTAGTGCTGAGGACCAGCAGAAGACCTGCAGCTCTGTGAACACCCTGTAAGCTGTCCCCACTGCTGCACCAGACACCTGACTCTGCACAGCACCATGCCAGAACGCCTTGACTTGCTCTGGGCAGCTAAATTCAGAGCATTACCTTCGTTCAACATTTGCTTCCTGTTGTATCTCCTTCTCTCATCCACAGTACTTTCACACAACCTTCCCTAGGTCCCCCACAATTTCTTTCACCCATTTCCTTGCTTTTTGGAGCAATGTTTGCAGAGTCCCCACAGTCTTCTGCTTCCCAGTGGATGTTGCAGGAAGGGAAGGCAAGAGATGAAGATGCCCCCACCTTGCTGGGGGGCTGTCCCCTGTGGTTGGAGAGGGAAATTGCCAGGGTCCAGCTCAGGGTTTGCACTGGAGCAGCTCTTGCTGCTGAAGCTGCACTGAGGATAAGCCCCTTGAGCCACCACAGGGAGGATGGGAGGTGTGTTCTTGTAGGGCTGTGACCTCATGGGTTAACCATGGACATCCTTAATCGTGCTGGGGAAGGGATTAGATCCTCTCCAAATTCAGGCCCCTCTTGCTGCTGCTCCATGGCCAGAGAGAGCTGCTGCTTCCCAGCAAGAGGAGTGGGCAACTGTGGAGCCTGCTAAATATTATTTGTTCCCCTTGTTTATTTTTTTTTCCCCGGCAAGCCTTTAACTTGACCCTGTGCGCTTGGTTTGTGCTGTTGCTGGCCCCCTGCTTACCCTTTCTGAAGGCGAGTCAGTTTGTTTTCGGAGGGCGACCCGCTGCACCCGTGCGCGGATGCGTGTGCCGGCATGGCCCGCACTCCTCACTCCTGCCACAGGCACTCACACCACCCGTGGGCCCCCCAACTCTGGCAGAGGGTCTGCGAGCCCAGGCACCGCTGTACACCCTGCTTGGGGGGCAGAGGGCAGGGAAGGAGAGGGGTTCAGGGCTGGTATCCTCTTCTCTGCCTTGCTGAGCAATGCACCTCTGTGGGATGAACCACAGCTGTATTTACTTTGCGGAGTTTTCTCCTCCTCCTTCTCCTCCTCCTCCCACGCCTCTCTCCAGCCCTGCCTTCATGGGACCCGGGTGGCTGGCCAGCCAGCCGTGGCCACGCAGCCCTGCTGAGTCTGATCTCAGCGCTGACATAGTAGGAAGGAATAAAGCCATCTTTCTCTCTGCCTGCAAGCAGCGGGGTGGAGAGGGCTGTAAAGCCCATCTTCCCAGGCAACGAGGAGCATCCCTTGCTCCTCCGCACCACCCTGGGGCAGGCAGCTGTGCTCTTCGGGATGAACCAGAAAGCTCTTTGTTTTCTTGCAGCGTTTAAATAAACCCCAGCGGCAGGAGGGGGCCTCCTGGGTGTAAAATGTCCCTGTGAGTTGGCGGGTACCCCAAGATGTGGGGGTTACATGAGGTCAGTGCTCTCTGGCAGGGAGTTGCAGGGGCCTTGAGTGCTGGCACAGAGAGATTAACCTGGGAACAAAGCCCTCAACCACCACTCACAAGGAGCCCAAGGATGTTTTTTCCAAGCAGCTGGGGCTTGAGACTGGGAACACGATGCCTGGCCAGGCATAGGGTGGGTAGAAGGACCGAGAATGCTTTGCAGAAAGGGCAGTGACTCATTCCCTGCCTGCCATCTCCAGGGCTAAATAAGCATGAGGGAAAGCGTTGGACTGGGCTGGGCGGCACGGTGGTGGGCTCTTTGCTGAACAGCCCTGTGCTGCTGCAGGATGTGGTCTGAGGCCTGTGGGCCAGTCCTGATTGAAGAGGGAAAGGCAATAACCTAGAAAGGATGCCTTGGGCATCATCTTGAGGTGAAATCTTAGGAATCTTTTAAAGGCTGGGCTGAAGCAATGTGTTTGTATGGGGCAGCGGGTGGCTGGTGGCCAATGCTACAGGCTAACTCGTGAGGCGTTATGACAGGTGTGATAGAAAGACTGGTTCAGCTGCGGCTCAAGACTTGGGTGATTTTTGCTCTGTGCTCTGCATTGCACCAAGTGTGACCCTCCACGCAGCATGTACCCCCTCCATGCTGTATCGTCTTAGCTTGCTGATAGGGGCAGTTTGGTGCTTCTCAGTATGGCACCTGTATTTGATGTATGACATGTGCTGGGGTTCAATAACATTTTGTTTGAAAATGGTCTTTATAGTTATTTGTTAGTGCTTTGAGATCTTCCTAAGGAAGGATCTGTTTCAGTACAGGGGGCTATTAAATTCCAGTACATGTAATAAAGCGAATATTGCTGAGAAAATTAAGGGGCAAAAGAATATGTCCTCTTACAGACCATAACTGTCTTGAATAACTGCAGCTCAGGTGTGAAGGCTTTGGGTAAAAAAAGAGAGTAGGAGGTTATTACAAACTAGAGTAAACAACATGTTCAAGGAAATTGAATTATGAATTAAATAAACTGTATGGCTTAGAAAACTGCAGACAACAATCAAATCTAAATACCCATGTGGCCAATGTGCCAGCAAAATCTGAACAGGATAAACTTTACCAGTTTCTTTGGGAGCAGCGGCCAGAGAACAGCAGCCCACTTTTATCTGCAGGGGAAAGAGAAGCCTGTCTGACCCCAGTGAGGTCCTTTAGTCAAAGTGAAAATATTAATATAATGAGAGGCTGTTGATCAGCAGCACAGGAGGGAAAGACAGGGGCCTTGGAAGGGCTGAGTAAAACATTTCTCTAAGTCACTGCAGGGAGAGAAATGAGCACAGGCAGCAGGTTAGAGGGAGAAGATCTGGGTTCTTGTTTTCTGAAGTGAGTGGTCTGTGTAGCCCCCGTGAACCCAGGGTGGGCAGTGGTGCTTCTCGTGAGGGTTTTGAGGAGGAGGCTGCGCCACGGACGGACTGAGACCCCTTCTGATCCCAGAGATCCCACAGTCCTGGGACTTGCTGCCGCTGCTTGGCTCCCTCACTAGTGAGTCAGGAACACCCACGGCACCAGTCTTATTGCAGTCCGTTGACCCCCAAGCAATTCTCTTCGGCCCAAGAGCTGCAGTAACTTTTTAAAGTGGGAAGTAAAGTGTAGGCAGCCTGAGCTGGTGCTCACGGTCGTGCTGACTAAGTAGGATTGTAAACTCTGCAAGCCAAACTCAGCTTTATTTACAGTTTCAGACACAGACTGCCTTGCTTCAAATGGGAGCATATGCTAAGACAGGTCCTGTATTCCCTAGAGACATCCCTTTGGGGCTGGGCTCCCACATTGCTCAGTGTGCTCCCCGCGGGTGCAGTGTTAGGCAGAGCAGGCAGCGGAGCAGGGAGCCCACAGACCCCAGGCTGGTCTCTGCTACACAGTCAAGGGTATCACTGGGTTTTAGAAATGAGCCGCTTCACAAGCCATAGAGTTAATGAAGCTTGGTGTCTTGATATTTGGCTTTTACCACAGCTGGTAAAACACCAATTCTTCTCCTGTCCTTGGGCTATTTCTCATGTCTCTTGCTTGTGTGATTTATCTGATTTTTAACACTGGCTGACTCTTCCTCCCTGTAGCTTTCTGCTCAGCTGGGATGCTGAGTTCCTGGCTTTTTCCTATTGCCTGGCTGTTGTGAAATTCATAGGTAGTTCATATCCTTGAGATTTCTACCAACTGTTAAATCTCGTTGGTGTTTGTCAACTGGGTCCAATGTTATGGCAAGTGTGGGGTAACCAGGTTGGTGGCAGAAGTCTTGTTATCTTAACAAATCGAACTACACGGGTTCTAAAATCCATGACAGGGTGTGATTCAAGCTCAAACTTGATGAAAAAACAGAGCTAGAAATGAAGAGCAAAATAAAAAGCAAACCTAACAAAACATTTTACCCTGATCTGTGAAAAGGGGCTTAAATTCTTGATGCTCCTCCAAAAAGAATTAATACAGCAAGGTCAATTACTTTTTCAGTGTCCTAGTGCTTCAAACTAGCTATCACAGTCCCACCTCATACTCCTGTCCCTTTCCCACTCTACAAATCAGAGATCTACGCATCTGGCTCCTTGCGAAATTGTGAGCAGGGTTTCCATGGATTGAAGGGAAGATGGTGGGGCCGAACATTGGCTGAGTTGCTTACAGGACAGTCAAGGAGAGCAGTGTCACCAAATCTAGCCCAAGCAATGCTTTGCTTTCTCTCCCTGTGGATTGCTGGGTTTTGCAGCAGTGGGCAGGGAGAGGATATATTCTATTCAGCTGTCCTTTGAGCTGAAACCAGAATTTCCTCCAGAAAAATCACAGTAGATGGGATTGTAACATCTCATTGTAAGGCCTAGAAGGGCAAAGATGTAAACATGAAACAAAACCTCTTGCCATATGATTGCTCTTTGGCCAGTAGGGAAGAGGAAAGGCAGAATCATGCATTGGAGAGGGTGGCCTGAGCAACGAGGGTGGTTGGGCAGGTGCTGCCCAGCTGCCCTTTTCCTCAGGACATGAGGTCTTGGCTGACAGGTACAGGTGTGATTCAGAGTCATCAAAACCACTGTGATGCTTTCCATTGTCTTCTATTCTTCTCTGAGGGGATCCTGGGGCAAGACTGGTGTTTGTTCAAGGACTCACCAGCACTGCTACTCTGGGGAAGGAAGCTATAGCCTCCTTTTTTCCTCATTAAAGTTATCCCAGTAACACTTTTCTTCTGCTTTGGCTTTGCTTTCCTGACTATCTTCCCTTTTGTCTCCAGAATGTGGCTACACTTCAGCACTGATCGAATGATTGTCTTATCTCTATTTTATAAACCCCTTAGGAAGAAAGATCCAGGAAAACAGTTCAATTAATAATCTTTGTCATCGCTTCATTCCTTACTGTTGATTTCTGCTTTTGTTGTTCTCTGCAGAAGGCAGTGGCAGTAGTTGCACTGGTGGTTGCACGCAGCTAGGCTCTCAGCTCAAATTTGGCATTGACAATGTCAGCCTCAGAGCACTGGGACCTGTTATTGACAGTGAGAGCAAAACAGAGTTTGAAGGTGCCTCATGGGACTAACAACATTCTTGTATTTTCTTTTAGGAACTGTCTTTTGCAAACAACGTTTTATTTCTAGTACTCCTCCCCAGTTAATTTTCTTTAAAGTTTTGAAGCCTTTAAATTAGGTTTTGGAGAGAAGGGCCATGACCAGCAGCTGTATGTACTCATGTCACCCAGTGTGAGACCAGACTTGTCCAAATCAAATGCCCCTTCTCTGCTAGCAGAGGACTCCTTCAGCTCTCGTGGAAAGTGTGCATCTGGTCTCTTGCTTCTGGGAGGCTCTGGAGAGCCACAGAGTTCTGCAGATTTGCCCAAGCAAGAGAGAGAAGATGATGAAGAGCTATATGTGCTGTGGGTTTGCAAGGCTCCTGGTGCATCCTTTCCCTTTGGCACTCTTAGCACCCTCTGGGTGCCTCACTAAGTGCTCTGATTCCTGGTGCTGTATAACCTGCTCCTAGAAAAGACTTGTCTAAATGCTAGGTTTTGCCAGCCTTCTGATTCCTGGCCTTTCTGCAGGTTATGGCAGCCCCTGGGTCTCTGCCGCTTCACACACGTGCAGCGCCTGCGCTCTGTGCTGGCCTTGTCTTCTCATCTATGTTTGCATCTCCCCTGCAGGTCTGGATGGATGCAGGCACTCAAATCTTCTTCTCGTATGCAATTTGTCTGGGATGCCTGACAGCTCTGGGCAGCTATAACAAATACCATAACAACTGCTACAGGTAACTGGAGCACGGCTCTGCTGTCTAGAGCCCTTCCTCTCCCTGAACATTAGTGTGTGTAGGCTGGTGAACTGCTGGAGGCTACTGGCCTTTAGAAGTGTCATGTTTTCTGTTTTTACTCAAGGTGCAGGAAAACACTTCCCAGGTATTTTCTCCCCAAATCCAGCTCTCTGTGCTTTCGACCCAAGGGAACTTTCTGTCTATGTGATGGATGACAAATCCCCACATCAGCTGAGACCCAGGAAAGTCAGATCCCCTTCACTATATGGATGCCTCTTCAACAGCAGCTGGGCTGAGCCTTCTCTTCCTTTCCGTGTCCCTTCTCCCAGATGCAGTTCTGAGAGAAATTACTCTGTCAAAACAAGAGATAACAGATTTGACTTTGGCCTGTTGCATGTCCTTGAGCACTAGCCCTCTGCATCTCCAGCCTGGATGTATAAATTGGAGATGATGACAGGGGCTGTTTAGCAAGGTTGTAAAGAGCTTCCGTAGCTGCATCTGGGACACACTATAGAAAGGTGGTATCTCTTCACACACAAGCCCTTTACAGTATTTGAATTTGCTAGGAAAATTGTTCTCAGTTTTGGTGTCAAATATCTGAGCACCCTATTCCCAGGCATGGATAAAGTTTTAATAAGACAGTTCTATGCTCTGCAGCCTTGATTTGCATAGGAAGACAGGACCGAGTTTCAACAAGGCAGAGAGACACCAATGTGGTGCCCCATTCAGTTATCCTAGGCCAGATGTAACTAGACATAAACTTTGATGACCTAGAAAAGAAAATTATGTGGGCTGGAGGGACCATTGTTGGTATGGCAGCAGCCCAAGATGGTACCATTTCTCATTTTCTGGGACAACAAGGGATATTGTCAGGGCTCCCTGACTCCCTTTCATATAAAAATCTGGAGAGACCTCTTTGCTCTGGCCATTCCCTGCATATTACACTCCACCACAACACCTCTTTCCACCTGCCAGGTGACTGGAGAGCACCTCCCACCCTATGCCTTTCCAAGGAGAGTTTGACCTGTCACACGTACAACCAGGGGAAAGAGGGAGAAGCTCTAGGAAGGAAGAGGAATTATATGAAATAAGTGGGAATTTGTTTAAATGACTGAGAATATAATTTGAGTAGAGAGCAAGCAGTTTATAGCAACTGGGGAAAAAAGGTTCTGGCATGGATTTCTCACTGGGTTAAATAAGCTTGGTGAAGCGTGACCCTTCTTACCAGCCGGGAGATTTGTGGGGACTCACCCTGTGGGCCTCTTTCAGTCTCTCCTGCCTTAGAAACCAAGTGCAAAGGTAGAGCCTTGGTATTAGGTACTGTGCAGTCCCTGACAGTGCAAAGAGTTGTGTTTTGGAGAGAATAACCTGAATTTGTATGGCACAGGGGCTCCTCATGAACTGTACTTACTCTCTAAAAATGAATAGAGCTAATGAATAGACCTAGCTAATGTGCAGGGAGGAGCATGAACCCCCCCCAACACTAGATACCTAAAGACTGATACAGAAAATCACGCTGGATTTGCAAATTAGCATTTAAAAAAGTCAGAGCAGGCCATGAAATGCCAGAAGGGGTGCATTCAGTTTGGTTCAAGAATATCTCAGAAAGATCCTGCAAATGTTATTGTTGTCCTCAGGGCTGCAGTCACAAGAGGACTAGGGAGACTGGAGCGTGAAAAGGAATTGGATAGATAAGAGATGTTTAGTTTAAGGAGTAGATGAATGAGAATGAGACGAAACGGAGACGAAAGGGAATACATCAGAGAAAATAAATTGGATGGCTCTGTTCATCTTTTTCTCATAACGCAAGGACCAGCAGATATCTAGTAGAGCTGAGAACCAAGAAGATTGTAACTGGTCTGAGAAATCTATTAACGGGAAAAAAAATGTCCCCCCCTCAGAAAACCATAATTTCTGGTACTCTTTGCTACAGGAGGGATCGTGGGAGAGAGGGGAAAAAAGTAAAAAATCAGACATTTAGATGTGTAGCAAGACTATCTCATGAGTGAGGAGCTTAGATGAGGAGTGCATCTTGATGCTGTCCTTGGAGAAGGTTTTCTCTGGAGCAGGGGGGTCTTCTGCTGTGTTGCCTTCCCTGGGACATCCTCTGGTAGCTCCTGGTGCTGAGCTGAGCTGTGGGGGTGGTGAGAATGAGGCCCTGCTCTGGGCACAGCAGCTGGGACAGGAGAGTGGGTGCTGTCCTGGGGAGTTGCCATGGGATGCTGGTCATACTTGGCCCTTGACCTGGCAAATGCTGTGCTCCCTCTTCCCAGGGACTGCGTGGCCCTCTGCTTCCTCAACAGCGGCACCAGCTTCGTGGCCGGATTTGCCATCTTTTCCATCCTGGGCTTCATGGCAGGGGAGCAGGGCGTCCCCATTGCCGAGGTGGCCGAGTCAGGTGAGTGGGGCTGTGGTGGGATGGAGCTGCGGGTGTTGCTGCTCTTTGCCTCCCTCCCCTCCCTGCCCTGCCCTCAGCAAGGGATGCATGTCCACAGGCTACCCACCCTGGGGCAAATGATATTGTGGCTCCAGGTTCCCATCCTGGTGGGCAGCTCTGCTTTCTGCCTCCAAAAACGAGGGGGAAACAAATGCATGCTTGTGAAATATTAAGATGCAATGGCCATGTCTTAGGTTCAATACAAGCTGCCTATAAGGGTTAGAGTTAGGCAGCTGCTATCTCTCATTCCAGGATGAGATGTGAGGTTCCTGCATGGCATATACCCAGGCTTGTGCTGTGCTCCCCTGGGCTCAATGACTTTCCCTGGCTCCCAGCCCTCATGATGACCATGAAGCCAGAGCTTGGTCTGTCCCCTTTCCCTCCCTTCCTGCTGGGCTCGTCCAGCCCTCAAGGAGCCTGAGTTTCATGCCCAGTACTGGTGTGACTGGATCGAGAGGCTGAGTGGCTGCAGGCTGTGCCTTGGCCGGGTGGCTGTCTCAGGGGGGTCTGCACCAGGTGTGCCACTGCTGTGCCATTGCTCACATTTTAAAGCCCTTCTCCCTGCAGGACCTGGCCTGGCCTTCATTGCCTACCCTCGGGCTGTGGTCATGCTGCCCTTCTCCCCACTCTGGGCATGCTTCTTCTTCCTGATGGTTGTTTTGCTGGGACTGGACAGCCAGGTAAAGGCACAGGTGCAGGGTGATTCCCTGCCAGGCAGAAGCCTTCATCCCTTGGGACAGGCTTGAACTCGGCTGAGAGGGGGGCAGTGGGGCTGGGGAGGTGGTCAGGATGGGCTGACAGAAGTGAGATCTCTGCTCTTTGCAGTTTGTCTGCGTGGAGAGCCTCGTCACAGCTCTTGTGGACATGTACCCCACCATCTTCCGTAAGAAGAACCGCCGGGAGACCCTTATCCTGCTGGTCTCAGTCCTCTCCTATCTGGTTGGGTTGTTGATGCTCACAGAGGTATTTTGGGCTCAGACCACCTGCGCGGTGCTTGCTGAGTCCGAGTGCGCCCCTGGCAGAGGAGGGCCTGGTGTGGTGGGGTCTGTGCTGGGGCCAAGAGCTTGCTGGTGAACCCCATCCTACTGCACAGTGCCTGCGGGAGGCTGCCCTTCCTTCCCTGTTGCATTTGCATTTTCGCTTCCAGCCCTCACCCTTTGTGCCAGTCACAGTCCAGACAACTCTCCTGCCAAGACTGATAACTGGAGCTCTGGATAGTCTGTATTTTGGTTACAGATTTATCTTTATATGAGCCAAACCTTTCCAGCTGTAGCTAGCTGCATGGTGAGGGGAGTGCCTTCTCTTTCTTCTTGGGTGGAGCTACATGAACACTTGGTGTAAGGAAACTTGGTGGGCTGGATTGTGTCCCACATCTGTTATGGTGATTTCCTATATATTCCCGCTGTTGTGACTACTCACTTGGGAGTTAAGCTGTTCTTGTTTCAAACCTGTAGCTTCTCCTAGGAGTATTTGTGTGGGGATTGATGCTGCAATGATGCTCTTCGCATCTTCTGTTTTCATTCTGGCATAATTTTGAAAAAGCTGCCATCAATGTTGCACCTGCAGCTTCATACCTGGACTTACCTGCAGACCCATTTTGTAGAGAGCTTTGCTGGCCTGGGCAATGAAACAGCCTCAGGGCCCACAGCTCAGAAAACTACACGCACACCTACTTCCTTCTGCAAATCAGGAGACTAAAGTAAATCAGAGGCGTTTTGTCTCTTAAGGGGGTTTCCACCCTCACTTCCAACTACAAGAGTTGCTTTGGTATTGCCTTCTCCTAAAATATCCCCACCATCTCTGACAGTCACTTGCTTTCCCCTGTCCTGGAGTGAAGAGTTGTGGAGACTCCAGAGGGCGGAGTGGCTGCATGTCTCCATCAGGCCTTGAGCACAAGAGATGTGGCCTTTGCTGTCGGCTAAAACCCTGCCCCAGAGGGGGGAAAGTGCCTCCCGGTCTGGGGAAGATGTTGAGTTTGTTTCCTGCTCTGGCTGGAGTTCGTCACCTGTGCCTGATTCCTCTCCTCTCTCTCCCTCCCCACCTCACCTTGCTGCCTGCTTGACCCTTCCCAGGGTGGGATGTATGTCTTCCAGCTCTTTGATTACTATGCTGCCAGTGGCATGTGCCTGCTCTTTGTGGCCATCTTCGAGACTCTCTGCGTCGCCTGGGTCTATGGTGAGTATGAACCAGGGCAGGGTCCCCAGCTCTGGTCTCCCAGGCTCTTGCTTGGTTCATGCTCAAAATGCTGGTCTGTAGCTCATCATGGCAATTGCTTCGCAGTGCAAGGCAGATGTCTAAACCCTTGCTTTGGTGTCCCTGGACTCGACTGGTGGGGATTTCCTCACAGCAATGCCCTGCGAGATCTGCTTGGCAGATAACCCCAGCGTATTGCTCTGTGTCCCTGCTTTTGAGACCGTCCTTCCTTGGGGATTTGGAGGTGGCTGAAAAATCTCATCCCAACCTGTGTCTAGAGGAGTCTGAGAACCTAGAACAGTTTTGAAAGCCCTCTCTCAGCTTTGGCATTCACAAGGGGTGTGTAAAATCTGGGTTCAGGTCGTAGTCTGGGAGATGCTGAGAGGCCGGCCCTGCTGACCCACTGGCCTGTTCCGGGGCGAGAGGGTGTTAGTCCAAGATAAAGACTGGTGCTGGCCCCACTCTAGCAAGCTCCTCAACAGGGCTGTTGGCTATGCTGAGGTTATCGCCTCGTCTTCTGGTGAGCACTCAAACAGTGGTGAAGCAGGACCCTGGACATGCTCCTGCCCTCCTTCCTTTGTAGCAGCGAAGTAACATTTCCGTCTCCTGCAGGTGCCGAGCGTTTCTACAATAACATTGAAGATATGATCGGCTATCGGCCATGGTCTGTCATCAAATACTGCTGGCTTTTCATCACCCCAGCGGTTTGCACGGTAAGGGTCCACAGGAAGAGGGACTGTGAGGAGGAAGATAGGAAGAGCTGGGTGCCTCTGAGATACAGATACCTATAGGTGTATGGAGGGATGCGCGCATATGTAGGGGCCTATACGGCCTGTACTACGGGAGACTATTGTTCTGCCTGTTTGTGGCTTTCGAGGTGAAGTGTGGGGCTAAAAAAGCATCAGAGGGACCTGGCTTGGCAGTGATAGAGATGCCTGCTGGTGTGGGGTTAGCTTCTTGCTGCCATGCCCAGTGCTGCACACAGGAGCCATCCCAACAAAGCTTGCTTGACTGGTGTCTCCTCTGCTGTCGTCCCAGGAAGTTCTTTGTCACCAGAAAAATTTTTGCAGGTGTGGACTCACCAGGAAGACCTCTCTTGGCTAATGGTGTTGATTTTCTTGCTCATTTTCTCTTGGTCTCTTCCACCTTGCCAGGCAACCTTCCTGTTTTCTCTGATTAAATACACCCCGCTGACCTACAACAAGAAGTATGTGTACCCATGGTGGGGAGACACCCTGGGGTGGCTGCTGGCCCTCTCCTCCATGGTGTGCATCCCTCTCTGGATCGTCTACAAACTCTCCACCATCAAAGGCTCCCTCAGAGAGGTGAGGCTGGTGCTCTGGGATTCGGGCATGGGCTATGCTTCTGTGTTGAAGTCCAGCCTTGCTTGGGGATCATTTGTGAGTTGCAGGTTAATTTAGCAGGGAGACTAGGATAAATCAATTGAATGAGTCCGTTGCTATAACAGTCTTATTTAAGTTCTTCCTGGCTGGAGGGCTGCTCCAAGCTGGCTGTTGCCTCTTGGTGCCTTTTGTTTACCATTTCTGTCTCTTTGCAAGCACTGTCAGGAAGAAGTTCATTAGAAGGTGATCTTCAGTGCCTTGAGTCAGTTTGGAGGCTGCCTTTGACTGAGGCTTGAGGACTTGTTCTGAGAAAGCCCCAGATCCCACGAGAATTGTGGACAGCTGAATTCCTCAGTTGATTATGAGACCATAGGGATGGAGTGGAGGGGATCACTAGGAGTTTGGAGTTTCCATCACGGCCTCAGTGCCCTGGGCCTGCCCAGCTCCCTCAGCTGCTGTTACCCATTTCTGGCTGCGCTGGTTGTGCATTGGGAGGGCAGGGAGCTGGCAAACCAGACCTTGCTCCAGACAGGCATCCTGTCCCTGCCACTGCTCATGGTTTCAGGGGGAGGTTTCACAAAGAGTTCCGAACCCCCAGGATCCCACCCGCTCTCTGCCTCCTCCAAGTGCTCAGGGATGTGTTGTAACAGCAATGGGCCTTGATTCCTATGTCCAGCGCAGACAAGGAGAATTGGGCATGGCTGCAGGAGCATGGCAAGGGCCATGCTGCATGATGTAGAAGGTAGCTCCTTACACAGTTGCTGTCCCAGTTAAAGCCAAACCTGTGTCCACGGGTGCTTCCTTTGCAGTCTGTGCTGATAGAGAGGATGACCTGGAGGTTCTTGAGTAGCAACCTTTCTTTGGACTGCTTTCTAGCCCCAGCCTGGAGCAAATGGAGGGCAGAGATTTCCTACCATGTCTCAGGTCTCTCATGTGCTCAGTGCTTGTCTTGGGACGAGTGGTTCAAAGAAGCTGTATTCAATGCATGCCTTTGCCTTCCAGAGGTTCCGCCAACTCACCTGCCCACTTGAGGACTTGCCTTCCATGCCAGACACAGGACAGCCCCTTCCCCCCACCAGAGCTGGCCTCCTGATGCTGACAGAGCTTGAATCTCATTGCTAGGACAAGTGTGGCTCTCCCTCCCCTCAGGATGGTTTCTATACAGCTTTTACCACCTGTTGGATAACTCGAGGATTCTTCACTTGCCAAGGAAAGATTTGAAGGGCTGAGGAAGAGGCTGCCAAGGAGATGGTCTGTGTGGGGTTAGCAATGCACCTTAATCCTCTCTCTGGAGAGGGCTCTGAAGGGGCAGATCAAGCACTGGTATTCCTGAGCATCCCCAGCCTTCGGGCGGGCAGAAACAAAGGACTGATCCTGGAGTGGAGAGTGTCAGAGTGTCTCAGAGGTGTGGCTCCACTGTGCACTTTGGGAACTTCTCCATTCATTCCATTAAATCCTTGGGTATTCCCCCTTCTAGATCTGCTCTGTCTCAGTTTTCTCTGACCCTTGCTCACAGTACTTTAGGTGAGATGTGTGTTCGTGGAGCTGTGCTGGGTGTTCTGTTGCATTGGCACATCAGTATGGGTGAGTGGCCAGAAGAAAGGAAGCTTGGTTAGGGTAGGAACAAAAACAGGGAACACCCTGTACGTGGTAGGCCTGGGGTACCTGGGTGGAGAGCGCAAGGCCACCTTCTGCTGGAGCCATTGCCATCTCCCATCTAGAAAAATCATCTGGCTGGTGAGTCACTGGGCTGTTTCTGGGGTCGAAGAGAAGCGTGTGAGTTTGTGTTTTCATCGTGCAAGTGAAGAATCCTAAGAAACTCTCCCTTGTCTCCCTGCAGGTCTGTGTCTTTTTTTTTTCCTTGTTTTTTTTTTTTTTTTCTTGTTTTTGTTTTTTCGTTTTTGGGTTTTTTTTTCGGATGTGTGCTGACTGCCTTCCAGGTGCTCTAGACCCAGTCGTTTTGGCTTTCCTGCACACGGAAGAAAGGCTGTGTGGTTGCAGCGGGATCTGCGTGCTGTGTCAACAAACAGGGGCCCCTCGTTTCCAGGCTGTTTGGGTAAAAAAATAAAATAAATCAAAGAGCTTGTGTTTTAAAGTGCTGTAGCCCAAGCAGCCGAG